ACACACACACACACACATATATTATATATGCATATAAATAGGGAGATATATATACACATGCAGCAAACATGACATTTGGGATCGTGGTTATATCAGAGTGGAGAATGGAGGGAATGGTGGAGAAGCATGGACATTCATATGCACAGAGACATGAATGTTTCCAGTTGTTCATTAAGCATTTTACATCTTAACTTTGATGGTCGGTACACATGTGTTTATCTTGCCTTTTGGAAAAACTAAAATTAATTTTTAACAAACCACAACAGTATAAAAAAAACAGCAATAAACCTACAAAAGGAGCTCAATATTAGCATTAGCTAGTATCAATCTATCCCAAAATTTTTGTTCTAGCAAAACTGAGGACAAGATCCTAGAATATAGCAGCCATACTAACCTGCTTCTTCCATGCAGTTATAGATATTACCTCCATCTTGTCATCTTCAAACCAACAGATGAATGCATGTGCTTCACTAGGTCTAGCAGAAATAAGTGTCTAATCTTGACAGTATGAAGGAAAATTAATAAAATGTGCTAGAAGATTTTGGAAAAGTAACCATACTCTTCAGGCTAAAAGTCTCCAGTAATTTTAAGTTATGAAAATGAGTGGGTTTCAGTTTAAACTATCTTACATATCACTGTCATTAATAAAATTAAAATGTTATACATTTTTTTACATTACAATAGTTGGAAATCTAGATATTTAACAGCTCGGTCCCCATTATAAAATGCTCTATCCCTGGGCTTGTCTAATTGTCTGGGTTGTATGCACCTCTGGTGGTTGGTTTGTTCATAATTTCATGTTTCTCTCATTCACATTAAGACCATAAGTCCAGGGCTCTTGGCACTTTCAGTAAATTGAAAATATGTCTCACACACTCCGTAATTAATCATTTAATTATTATAACTAATCCAATAGATCTAAATTATATACTTACCATTGAGAGTGCTTCTATCAATCAAATTAGTGTCAACTGGCCAATAGCCTCCATCTCCATGACGACCTATTTATTAGGAAAATATGTCAGAATGTTAGTGCACAGACAACATGAAAGTACAGACAAACCAAAACAAACAAAAAGAATACATATTTTTGTATACACAAATAACTGAACAAGATTATTTTGGTCACCTCAAAGAAAGCCTGACAAGAAAACACTATTTTCCAAGTGTAAGAAAATAATTTTCACAGAAATACCCTTCTAAGCAAGCTAACTTCAACTCCTCTCTGAGTTTCCCCTTCCTCTTTTTCAAAAATGTTTTTTCTCTCTTAGTATTCCAGTTAAAGTGTGAAAAATGGAGTGCAGTGGCGGTATCACTCTGAATATTTCTCTTCTGAAATTCTCAAAACAGATGTGGTGCCAGTTTACAGCAGGGCTTTGACCTGGTTCTTCTCCATTTAGTCATGGCTGGCAAAATGAAATTGGAATGGACCTAAATTTGTAAAATAAGGGTCAGCCAGAATGATAACTGAAATGGAAGAAACTACAGGTTGACACTCTGCTAAAAACTAATCTCCCTTTTAGAAAACAAGGGTGGTGTGCATGTTACATAGCAACCAAGTGTCTTGACCTGCAGTGTCGGAAACAGTGATGCCTCACTCAAAGATGGTAGTCAACCCCTCCAACTTGAGTGCGTGCAATTCCCCACAGCACTGGCAATAATCCAGTTTCCTGCATCAGGCTCCTAAGAGGGCTTACTATGGCTCCTCCAAGTGTCCTCTTTCTGGGGCTTCAACCTTCAATTTTTCCTGCTTCAGTTATCGTTCTGCTTCATCCAACTTTCAAAAATGGGGTCTGTTCAATTTTGCTTCTTTAGCCATAAATGAACTGGTTTGAAACAGTTTGAAGCCCTGGGTTACAGCTCCTAGAGGGGCATGGAGCCAACTTCCTTTATATTGTAGGATGTTCTGCCCATGGTGTCACTCACCTGACATGTCTTTGTGGCAGAGTGTCATTACTACTAAAAGGGGATAGCACATTTTATCTTACAATTGAGTTCTGACTATTCTTTTTGTTATGTGCCTGGAAATTTGACATTACATTTGGAGTAGAGTCTGGAATATGTTATAATCTGCATAGTCTAAATATTTCTTATAAACTTACCATGAAAGGAATGCACGTGTCATGTTATTGGAAACAGTGTCTTTATTAGGTGTTTTTGTTTATAGTTGTAAAAGTAGCTTTTAAGAAAATCAAACTGGAAATACTACTTAACCAGAAATAATTATAGCACATCTTTCCAATTAATTTAATTGGCTTTCACCACAGGTAACCCTTAGCTGTAATTATCTGATTAGATTTTGAATTCTATCATATCTATTCCATCATATTTATTAATGGTAGTCCATTTATAGAAGAGTATTTGGGAGCTGCATCTACATGCAAACTTATATAAATTCTCCACTTTATTTACATTGGAGAGTTATTCTGAAAGCAGTTATACTTAGTGGATGGTACAGAGGAAGCCAATTGAGTCACTCTCCTACAATAACAGAGGTTATTTTTCTCACATTTATAGATTTTAGTTTTCTTCATGTTTATAACTATCAAGTCCTTCCCTTGTGACCTTCTTTTGCCTACCAAACAGTATTCTCACTAAAGCTTTATCAAGATCTCATAATGTGATTTGCAAAAGAGCTGTGAAGAAACAAAATCCTTCTAACAGTCTATACATTCACAATTTTTAAAGTTCTTCTGATACAAGTCAGAGCTGAAGTTAGGATGGCAATCTTCCAACAAGCATTGAAAGAAATTAATCTAATCTACACAAAACATACTTAACAAGCAGTCAGGAGAAGAGACATTTTGATTACCGTCTTAGGGTAGTATAAAATGCGAGGTAATCAACTCTAAGGGGCAATTTGCACAAAGAGGAGATGGGGATAGGTGGGTCTTAGGGACTGAATTATACCTCCAAAACAGTGTTGAAGTCCTAATCCCTGTATCTGTGAACATGACCTTGTTTGGAAATAAGTTCTTTCTTTGAAGATATTATCAGGTATGTTAAAGGAAGTCACACAAGAAATAGGTGGATCCTAATTCCTTCCAAGGGGTGTATTATCAAAGAAAAGAACAGACAGGACATACAGAATCCCACTCAGGGGAACAACAAAACCTAAAAGTCAAGGAACACCAAGAAACACCCAAGGCTACCAGAAGGTGAAAGAGGCAAGGTAGAATCTTTGGCTTCAAAGAAAGCACAGCCATGCTGTTTTCCTGAATTTGACTTCTAACCCCCAGAACTGGGAGACAATATACTTCTGTTCCTTAAAGTCATCTATGTTATAGTGCTATGTTACAGCAGTCCTAGGAAACTGAGATAGTGCGTTACCATGGACCGGTTACCTCAGCATGTCAACATTATAGGGTGTCCCTACTAGAAACACAAATAAAAGGGGTGGGGGCTTTAGTCTCAGAAGATAGTAGATCAAAGTCAGGAGACAGCTTACCTGAGGAACAAAATAAAAATCTTTAGACCCTGCCTAATAGGAAAATATAAGAGTGAAATAATTATGTTAATCATAGCTTTCCACCAGGTGATTATAGTAGCCTGCCTACAGCTTTTTAATAATTTATTTTGTAGTTGTTGAGATATACACAGTGGAACATAGAGCAATTTAACAGTTTCTACATGTAAAATTCAGCAACAATGATTATGTTCTTTGAGTTGTGAGGCTGTTCTCACCCTACTTTTCTGATTGTTCCTCTGCCATTAACATAAACTCACTGTTCCTTAAGTTCCTGTCTAATCTTTCCTGTTGCTGTTGTCTATTAGACTCCATATAGCTAGATCTTGAAAGAGCACAATACTCAAGGCAGCCATTCTTTACTAGTGAAGTAAGAGTACCTAGGACTCCTGACAGGAGATAGTGATTATGCTAAGGTCTGAGGCCAAAACTCCATTTTGAATCAAAGGTAGCCTCTGCATCAAGAATGTAGCCTGGCATTCCTGTAACTCTCCACTGTACCTTCAGAAAATTATTTGGTAAACCATTTCAGAGAACAATATAATTTTGCTTGTTTAAGGGTTTTTGTTTCCTGCCCAGGAAGCCAAATGAAAATAATTCTCAGAATAGATGCTTACTCAAAATAAATATTAGAATTTTGCACGTCCTCCCTGCAATCATGAAAGGAGGGTCTCATGATTATTTAGAAGCATGTCTAAGGCATTTGACTGCTAACCAGAAGGTTGGTGATTCAAACATATCAGCCACTCAGCGGCAGGAAGACTGGGCAATCTACTTCTGTAAAGATTTACCTCCTCAGAAACCCAAAATGGACGGCTATAAGTCGGAATGAACTAGATGGCAGTGAGTTTGGTTTTCTTCCAATTTAACGGTTACTTTGTAATTAAAAAAAAAAAAAAAATTAGAAATGTATGTAACCTCCTACCAATCAGATGTCCCATCACATAATTTTGTTACCATTACCTAAATATCAATCAATCACTGAATTTTGACTGAAGTTCCTTGTATTTTCTTATAAAATCTCTCTGTCCTCTTTCCTCCTTGGATGACCAAGTTCTCAATCCTGTGGACCCTATGATTCCCACTTTGCAAACTGCCTTGCCTCTCAATGCAAGCTCTTTACATTTTGAAGGAGCTCCAAAGAACTAAGTAGATGGCATAAGGAGAGACTTCTGCCAAAGATGCAGGCCACACTCCATTTTATTTTTCCTTTTCTGTTTATTGCTTATTCTAAGCTGTCCTTCAAAAGCCACGAGCCAGCACACCTCAGGAAGCCTGGAGACTCCCTCTTCCCCAGTTCTCTCACAGCATGCTCTCTGGAAGAACATTCACTCAGGCTGACCCTCAAAATATCCATCGGTTTAAACTGTTAAATGACTCAAAGTTTATGATTAGCAAAATAATGTTTAAGGGATCTCGCTATTGTCTTGTGTGTCTTAAAGCATAATTTTTGTAAGTATCCACCAATCAGAATTTTTTCCTAGTAAGTTCCTGGATTTTCTGTACTGAGGCTCTGTGAAGAATTCCTTTCACTGTGGTACATCTTTGAATCCTCACAAAACACTGCCTGATTCCGTGGATCATTTAGTTCCTTCAATTAACATTTTGGTTTGATTTTAGCAGATGCTCCAGTTTGCTCCTCCTTGGGTTTCTAAGGCAGTATCACAACAGAAGTAGATTGCCCAACCTTCCTTCCAAGGAGTGGCTTGTGGGTTTGAACCACCAACCTTCTGGTTGGCAGTCAAATGCCTTAGGCACTACGCTACCAGAGGCTTATTCTTGCCTCTAGGTCCCTGACTTTTCTCTCTCCCCAGCCCTTGCAGAATCCAGATGGAAAATATCCCATCTGACCTTCACAGTAAAGCCAAGAGCTAACTACATGTGACTGACACACCCCATAGCTTAACCTTCCTTTAACATTCCCCAGTGTTTTTCTGCTCCCTCAGTCCAAACCAAAAAACTGAACCCACTGCTCACTAGTCGATTCCAACTCATAGTGACTTGTTGTTGTTGTTGTTATGTGCCGTCGAGTTGGCCCTGACTCATAGCGATCCCTCCTTGGGTTTCCGAGGCAGTATCACTACAGAAGTAGACTTCCCAACCTTCCATGTGAGGAGTGGCTAGTGTGTTTGAACCGCCAGCCTTCTGGTTAGCAGTCAAGTGCCTTAGGGGCTATGCTACCAGAGCTCCCATACACAGAGTAAAACCCTCAGAAGGTTCCCTAGGCTATAAATCTTTACAATCATCTTTCTCCCATGGAGCAGCTGATAGGTTCCAACCATTGGCCTTCTGGTTAGCAGCCAAATGCCACTGCAGCACCAGAGTCCTTACCTCACTCCAAACCAAAAGAAACAAACTCATTGCCGTTGAGTCGGATCCAATTCATAGCGACCACTCTTTGGGTTTCTGAGGCGGTATCACTATGGAAGTAGATTGCCCAACCTTCCTTCTGAAGAGTGGCTGGTGGGCTTGAACCACCAACCTTCTGGTTGGCAGTCAAATGCTTTAGGCATTATACCACCTTTAAAAAGCATC